AAAGGTTTAATACCATACTTTGAAATATTCAAGACAAAGCAATAACATCTCCATGGAGTAAAGTATTTAACGGACCCTTCACCAAAAAGTTACACAATGCACCTTTAATCCCAGAGTAACCGATGTTTATTATTCACCTTTAATAGTCTCCAAAGCTCAGTCCGAGCAGGTACAAACATGCAGAATGCACTCACAAATGCATGTTGCACGTGCCAGTTGATATTTAGCCACAAGCCAATAACTTAAACTTCTTTCAGTAAATGTTTGCAGACGGCTGTTCTTCAGGCTTAACCTGTTGACATAACCCAGAATATAAGTCAATAATATAAAATGGCTTGAGCTGCAAACTGAAATACTGTACATTCCACAACATATGTTATTTTCATTTTGATGGAGAAAAAGCACATTCAAAGTTTTAAAAATTATTATTTTTAATGAAAAGTAGAAGAGTTTTAATGACATTATATTAATGTAAATATACTTAATTACTGATCCACAAGGGAAATTACTGGGATATAGTAGCTCACAACTTATATTTTTGCTTTCTGTTATTGTATTGTAAATCAAACTCAGAATAATAAGGGGAAAAGGTTTATGAGTATAAATAAACAGATTGCATACAAGTAGACGGTAAATGTAAAATATACTGGGCTAAATAAAAGGGGTGGTGACGTAAGGTGATACAGTGCACAGCCATAATGCAATACTGTGGAACATTCCAGGCAAAGCAATAATATCAACATGGAGACAAGCAGAAGGCAGACCCTCCACCAGAAAAGTTACACAGTGCACCTTTAAATAATAGTAGTTGTTGTGCGGTTGTATGGCATTGATTTTGCATAATATAGGACCGATAAGTGTTCAGTCTGGCTAGCAAGTATTTGTTACAGCTCATGCTAATGATATTTTACTTTTAGAAAATAGTTTACAGTCTGGGAATGTCCTGCTTGAGGGTTATTGAGTCAATGATATTATAATATTGTAAGCGGACACTTTATCTAGATATTTTCAGCAGCAATATTCAAGAGAGATTGATAGTGTTGCAGTAAGCAACCTTTCACAAAAAAATTGAGAAAGTTTGTGATATTTTTACTTCTCCATACAAATGCTTTATTATAACATTTAAAAAAAATAAAGTGTAATCCAAAAGGGAAGGCTGATTTACACCTCCTCTCCTGAATCTTCTCATGTTTTTCTGGCTCATTGTTAGAACTAAACCACAAGTGTAGCAGCTGCCTCCTCAGGCCCAGAGGGAGTAACAGGTATCATAATCTCCATTATAACATCATAACAACTGCACACGCTCCACTCATCCTCACAACAAAAGTGACCCAGGCCTGAAGGTTTGTAACAGGCAGGTACAAAGACATATGCTAGAAAAGCTATTGTTGTCGATTTGAGATGGAGTTTCAGAGTAAGTCTGCAACTAGCAAGCACACACAAAATATGCCATAACTAGTTTACAGGCGTGTTCTTTCATCCAGGCTTACAGGCCCATATTACACTGTTTTCTCATCTATGTTAAGTAATATTATGCAAAAATTACTCATGTGCACTTTTAGCAATTTTATAACATTGTTACTTCCTCAAAAACATGCACAGATTTGTGTTTTGTTTCATTCACACAAGTCTGAGTAATCCTTTATTATTATTTATTATCTCCTTAAAGCTTAAAATGCTCCGTTTCACCTTGTGATGTCATGTATGGTAGTTTTCAATTTAACAGCTCCTTTTACCTTTACTCAGTCTGAAATCTTCCAAATGATTCTAGTGAAGATGTGAGGGTTTTTGTGTTTAACATGTGTGAATGAAACAAAACACAACCCCAGATATGTTTGTGATGAGGAAACATTATAATAGACCAGAGAAGTAGCAGTGTAATATGGGAACTTTAAGAAAAAGTCCCTAATCAATCACTGGGTCAGAACTGGCACAATAGATTCCTTTTGCAGGATGACATCAAATATCTTACTTCTGAGTCGTCTAGTTAAACATCTATTTTCTCATGGGCATCTGAATAGACAGTTTTGTTCAGGTTCTCTATAAAGAATGAGTCACAGCGGAGCCCCCCTTTCTTTGAACCTGGGGTGGTCTCTCTGTACCCAGACACAGGACATACAGTAGCAATGGGAGCTCTTTGCTGACAGACTGGCACTGGCCAACACAGTCATTAGTCCACACATGTTGTCATCCCTGTAGCACAATCATAGTACAGCTTATCTGACCGCAGAGGTAGTCACACTCTCCTCTTTGTGTCACGTCCAACAATGGAGCTCTTTTACAACTGAAGATGCCCAGACTGACAGCAGCTTCAGTAACAACACTGCACATTCCTGAAATCAGCGCCATGTCAGCACTATGTTTATACTACTGCTGCAAGTTTATTCTTAGTCTTGGTCTAGCCTGGGTTTAAACTTCTCAGCCCAATCGTGGTTTAGTCCTGGTATCTTTGTGAACTATGGGCAGATTTTATGTGGTTAGGTCCTGGTTTAGTCCTGGTTATGTGTATTTGCAGATTAGGTGACTGGTCTAATTCTCCCACAGACTCCATAGACATAGAGAGTTTACTGTGTTAAAGTAAATGCCAGAAAAGGTATCCAAATATCACATATCAGCTGTATCACAGAAACAAAATAAAACATGTAACTCTTAAAAGATGTGGGAAAGAGTGAAGGCAGAAACACACTTGGTGAACTCAGCAAGAAGTGACAGGAGCAGAAGCAAGTTAGAGCATAAATATAAGATCACAGCCTCTAGTGGTGTGTAAAGTCTCATGGTTAACTTCGGAAAAGTCACAACAAACAAAGCTCTGTAAAAATATTCATAATGCTACTATTTTACATTATCAAATAAAAGTGGAATAAATCAAGTGTGAGGACAGATTGGTGTTTTTCTCACCAAGTATGTACCTCAATGAAGGGCTGGGAATTGTGTATCGGATTGAATTGTGAGGAATAATTCGACACATGGCTCACGATACAATATGATTACAATACTGATATTTTGATATTTTTGCAAACACCTAACCCAAAATGCTTTACAATCTAAACTAGACAACTGGACTTAAATAAAGATACATATAGACAAAAGTATTAATTTAAGCAACAGTAATGTGCGTAACAAAACATAAGAACATGATCAGTATTCACTAAATGTAATATAGCTCTTTGTAACTTCAATCAAATTCATTTGGCCCAAGTCGCCAGACAAGATACTACTTTGTAAAATAATGACTTCTCCTGTTGCATAAGAAGCCCAGGGGAACAAGCTGGACTATTGAACAAAAACGAAATGTACAAATCTCCATGGGCCCCCTACACACACTGTTGCATGAATAGAAGTATACACTGTGGCCAGCCTGAACACTTGGACCATTCGACCACAATTAAAACAATACTTTGGCGTGTACATGTTAATTAAAAGCCCCACCGTGGGACATTCCTGGAAGGATTGGGGCTTGAATAGATGTGAATGTGATAGATTCATTAGTATGCTCCTTGCTGGCTGCTTGGCGAGCTGTCAAGACCCACTCCAGAGTTTGGATCAATGAAAGAGGGCTAAACTGGGCCCGCTTCCAATTCAGGGTCCAATGTGATGTTGTGTTTGCACAGACACACACACAGCAGTGCACCAAGCCCAGTGAGGAGACCCTCTTTTGTCTAGCAGTAATGTCTGGTATGCTGGGATACAGGCCCTGCTCAATGACCTGATTTCTATGGGGCTGCTACTAGTGGCCAATGCGTGTGTGTACTGTGTAGTGAGTGCTTCTGCCTCCAAGCTTTTCCTTTGGATAAGACAGGGTTTAGCCAGGCAGACAGAGACAGACCCAGGGAGACTGAGACAATAAAGAGAACACATATACAGTGGAAGGCTAGCATCAAGTAAACAGAAATTAGCCTGGAGTTCCCAAAGCAGGAAGCGAAAAGTAATTAGGCCGAGCAACTTAAGTCAGCAAAATTACAACCTGTATATACAACATGAAGATGAATTGTTAGTTTAATAGCTGGGTTTGTATATGGAAATAAACTGCTGTTCAAAAGAAATACAAAAATATACTTCTTCTTTGTATGACTACTTATTATCATTAAGTACTGCATTAGATTATCATTGTTTTTTTTTTTAGTCCAATCCTGACTTCGTCCTCTCTCCACACTTTAGAACAGTGTAAGACATACAGTACACAGAGGTGGATTTCAGTTTTGGTTGTTTAATTTACTGTGAAAAGAAAATATCGTAGCATTCACAGTTCTGATCTGATTGTATGCGTTACAATTAAAAACATTCTTCAACTCACATGGACTTAATTGCTTTTTAATCACAGCTTAGCTATTATAACTGTATCAAGCTCTGAGTAATTACCTTTAGTTTATGTATTCCCTTTCAAATCTTTGAGTTCTGGGACTGGCACAGGAAATACTAGTATGCTCTAATTGATATCTTATGTGTCTGAATGGATTTACTCTTAGTAGGTCACGATAACAAAAGTTCGATATACTGCTGAAGTAGCAGACACTAAAATAGACATAAACGATACTGAAATATTGAAAACTATTTGTGCCAGTGACACAATAATCCCAAAGCAGATATAAACCACAAAAACTATTCTAAATGTACAATACTGTTAAAAATAATGAGATGCAATAAATAAATGAAACACTTTAGTACTTAGTTTGCATCTGTAATGAGTGATAGATGTCATTAATTCAACCTTTTGCGACTTAAAAAATATTGTTCCATCTTTTCATGTATTGAACAATAAGTTGGTGTAGTAATTATCATGACAGGCTTAACTCGAAGCAAATAAAGTGTCCCAACAAATGTTAGTTTTGATATGCTGCGCGGGCAGTAGATAGGGGATTACAAAGGGGTTACAGTGTTTTAGGGGGTTTTAGGGGCCCAAAATTGGAAACCGTTTCAATTAATTAATATTACAAGGGGGCCATGTAAGGCTTCTTGCCTTCGGTCCTGTGCCACAAGATCTGTAATATTGTGTGTCCTACCTTGTCTCTGGATGAAGACCCTGAGCAGCGGGTGGGCCGTGGACACCGCCTTACAGAAGTTGTCATCATTGTTGATGGGCAACAGGTCGCCATGGATATCGGCGTAGCAGAGCATCACTTCCATGTTTGCAATGCGGTGGATGTGCAGGATGAGCTTGTAAAACTCCTCAAATTTGCCCGGTTTGAGGCGGTCGACTGAGAAGCGCCGAAACTCAGCTCCATACTGAAAGAGACAGAAAAAGGAAAATAAATAACAGTGAACTGGAACGGCAATCTTTGAAAATATGTGGATGCTACAAAGATGTGTGATTTGAGTTATTGCTTGCACCTTGCTTTTGACTGGGTTTTTAGAAAGTGGATTGTGTAATTTTTTAAAAGCCAACAAGGAACTAGAAACGCAGAAAATATCTCATCTGAATGTTATAATGTTGTTAATGTTTCCTCAATAAAAACATGCTGGAGGAGTTGTGTTTTATTTCATGTACACATGTTTAACACACAAATCCTGCATATTAAGGCTGAGTTATTCTCTTAAATAGAAAACCACCTTGTAATGTGGTTATACAGGAAGTGCTCCAGTGTGTTTTTAAACTCTATACACCTTGACCTCCACCACTAGAATCATTTGGATCATTTCAGCTCTGGAATGGCCAATCTGTACTGAGCAAAAGATAAAAAGGTAGCGGTTAACTTAAAAACAGCTACATTTTGAGCTTTGGAGGTGTACACAGACTTATAATAAAATGTTACTCAAACATGTGAATGAAACAAAACATCTCCAGGTATGTTTCTGAAGAGGTAACAACATTTTCACATGGAATCACAAGTCCATTTCAGGACCTTTAACCATTACTTCAAAGGCGAACCAGTACTTCAAAGGCAAAATGTGCATGTTAAGCATATTTCTAATTATCACATATTAGCTAATACAAAAAGTATGTCAACAAACTACATAGATCACGCTGATGAGTAAGCTCTTGCAGTATATGCTAACAGATGAATGACACTAGCTCCTCCTCCAAACAAACTTTGACAATTGCTCTGGAGCTTTCCCTGACATGCTCAATGAAGAAGGACTGTGAGAGAACAGCTGAGGGTCACCATGGGGTCGTCACTGGACACAGAGGGGGCGCGAGACAGACCCAGGGCACAAAAGCACAGCCCTATAAACTCTACACTGACTGGTATCTCAATCACTCAGACAGTAATTTGTATACGCTTGTTACTGTAATGAAAGAAGAACTAGAAGACCAATAAGCAGCAGAGGAAAGCGAAGTGTGCAATTAGCAACTACTATGTAATTACAACAAAACATAGACTACTTTAAGATATACACAAACAGGGAATCAAAATGACAAAAAGTGCAATATGAAGGACTTAGAGACTGCAAAATTTTACCAAGGCACTACACCAACTTGCAATGCCAACATGAACATCTGGATTCCAATCTTATAATTAAGGACGGACGCTGTTTTCATTAAATCCTTTGTATCTCTCTCACAATCTGCAATTTATTGTAGTCTCTGGGAGAAGAGCAGTAGATGCATAAGCAACGGGGAAGTCAAGGTTTAGAGAGAAGAAGAGTGGTGATTTGAATGCATTCGCCAGCCCTACTCTGTAATTACAAGATATAAATTTAAAAGGGGGTGTGCCTGAAGACTTTGGGGATGCCAGGTTTGCTACCACATTTACTGCAGAGACTACTTCCCAGAGTATGCTGCCCAGTCGGATTCCTGCTAATAAAACGGCAGTGTAGAAAATAAGATGGTAGAAGAAGTCGACAAACTGGTCTGAGAGGATTTTAAAAGGCTGTTTGCTTTGAGAAAAGTGAAACCTCTTGTCAAGTTCAATGTGTTGCAAGTACAGTAGGGTGGTTTTGCATAGACAAACAAGTAAACAAACAAAAAATAACCCACCCATAGGGATTCGGTCATATTGTGTTTAGAGACACGTCCTGGTTTAGTCCTGGTTATATCATGAAAGGGTAAACCCTTGTTTAGTTATGTCTGGAAAGGCCCAGTTTTGTTAATCCGGATTCAGTCAAAGACTTCTTTTCTTGATAACCTGGTTTCCAAAAAAATGTACTACAAAAAGGAATCAAAATGGCTGGCTACATCATAAGTGCGTATTTTACCAAATGATTCACCATGTTTTTAATGACACCAGGATGTGACGACTCTGATGTACTTGACTTGTACAATAATCATATCTGGTGTGATTACTTTGATTCTGAATCTCATCTTGAACATTTTGTTGTTTCACAAAGAACTCAGCCTCTGGGCACACGCAAGTCCAAACATGGCGATTAATCACTGCTACAAAAACTAAACCAAGAAATAGATCAGTGGCAACATGACATCACTTGTCCTAGTGGCCTACGAGGGACGGCGAGTTGAGACATGCACAAGGACACGTAGAGCTGCAAAACGTACTTTTAAAATGGATCCGGAAAATCTAAGTTGAGCTAAAGGAAACATAGGAGAGAGACCCGAGCCCCCCAAATACTTCCCTCTGATAAGAAGAGCTTAAGGTGAGTTTGAGTAGCTCCAGGCCAAGGATCCAGGAGACAGTCGGACACCTTCAGCACTATCTCAGATAAGATTATCAAGCCGACAGATTTTGTCAAGAAAACCAAACAAGCAGGCGACTGACATGGCCCACCCACTCAACTTAAAAGTGATTTTATTCCAACTACAGAGTGCACAATCAAATGGAAATAGTTGCAATATGCTAAAAGCAAAAGGCTTCAAAAAACTAAATAAAGCCTGCTAATTCTGCAAAGTAGACCTCACCAAACATGTTCTGAAATGCACGGGATTCTTGTTTTAGTTTATCAGCTCATAATTCAGTCTTCTCTCAAATGTTAATGCTCCTGGACCTGCTTAAAATGTGCACTGTCAACAAAATCCAACATTAAGCCATAAATCACAAATCTATCTGCACATGCACAGCTCATCAGAAAAATCTTACATATTTTTCCAGAATTGTCCAGCACTAAGATCTAGGCTAGGATCATTCAATATAAAACACTGTTGTCATTGCAAGACAACAAAGAAAGAACTTGGCACAGAGAAACAATGACTTGACCATTATTAACTAAAGCTAAAAATCAGTAGAAAGGCATACAAATTTAGCAACATATTTTCAATGTATTTTAAATCATAATCACACAATGTTGTGCTTGATCATTTTATGTTGACATAAATAGACAACAAAATCATGTATCTTTCTTACGAAGATGAAAAATGTAATTCTTATACATTGTTATACATTGTCAGTTCTGAGATACCACTTAAATGCAGCTTTGAAGTGAAGATAAACACAGAAAACAACAAAAGCTACTGCCTGCCATTGATATAGCCATTCTTCTTCTTCAACATCCAACTTTCTTTTTAAGCTGTGGCTAACCTCATTTCTATTTTTAGCTCGATGCCTCGTCACATACTCATAACAAATTCACGTCATAAAAATAACGTGAATATTCTGGACAATAAAGTGACGTAGAACATTTTGTGACTCAGATGGGATTGAGACACCTGTACCTTCTCCTAACCTCTGGCACAGCCCACCCACAAACATGAAACTGGACCCTCTGAAAAAGGTACTTTGAAGTATTTGAAGTATTTGCATGAGTAGCCCAGTATAAACAGGCACCTTGTAGTCTTTTTATCTCCTCGCCCACCTATGACCATCAGTGCTTCTCTTGATGTTTCTCCCACTTCACTGCCCTCCTTCCCTGAAACTGGGCAGATCCAACTCAAAAGTACAATCCCCAGAGGACTGTGTGAGTCACCTATTACAACTCATGTCACTACACTTAAGGGACATTGACTCAGGGGGAGGTCAATCCTGAGTGCATAAGTGTAGACATGTTCATAATGCAGGTATGTAGTTTTAAACATTCCTGAGTGAAATTCTGTCAATATGGTCTAATGCTAAGACACGTTCCAGGATTTTCTTGAAGGCTTGTTTTGAGTAATAATAACACCACTCATCAACCGTAGGCCTATCTGCCCCTTCATCAAGCAGTGATGTCCAATCTTTGTTTTTTTGTTCTTTATACTTTTTGTCACATCCATTTTAATTGAAAAAAAAAGAAAGAAAAAAAAAAAAAAAAAAAAGAAAAAGCTGTAGTTATCTTAAATAGGCCAAATCAAATATATTGTCTAATAAACAGCAGACCTCTTAATTGTATTGTTATTGTAGTCTTTTGGTTAATTTGTATAGCGTAAATAATGAGTATGTCTAATTGGTTACACAGTACACTTCAATAGTGTGTTTGATTGTTGAAAAAAAAGATTTCTGACTCATTCAACATTATAACTACATTAATAGACTGCTATGGGTAACTTATAGACAGAAACTAGATCACATTATAGCCTATGTAAGAAAACTGTAGAAATAGAAAACCTCTGTGTTTAAACTCCATCGTTCATAGACTATTACATAACCCCAAATTGAGTTAGGCCAATTGGGCTTGTTTGCACAGTCCTTTAACTTTTAATAGTACACTTGTGCAACCTGGATAACAGCAATTAGCAGATTATTCTTCCAAAAAAACCTTCAAAACACACGCGCAATTAAAATGTGTGAAATAAACGCGATAAACTGTGTGCGTAAAAGTCTGCTCCCAACTGTGTCAAACCCTTTCCCACTTTGACGCACAGAGGGAAAGAAGAGCCACATCCGCACTATCTGTCTGATCAGAGGTTTGAGAGAAATCACGGCAAACCAAACACCAAGACCCCGCCACTGCGCTCCCTCAACCCCCGCGTCAGAAAACAATTGGCTGACTTGATATTAAACAATATGAAGTTGGATGCAAGTTTGTCTGCGTGGTTGCTCCGCGGCTTTGGATCGAGCAACCATGTGAGACCGCACAGAGCAACTTTTACACCAAAAATAACTTCAAAACTCACCTTGCTCTTAACTTCAACTGCGTTACAATCCGCATTTCGCTTAAAACTCCGGTTCATTTTTGCTGTGGTTGAATTCCCCCAAAGTTCAGGCGCCTTTGCCCACTGAAGAGGGGCTCTGGTCCGCGTTATGGGGTAAAATCCTCCTCGCTTGTCTTGATCGGAAAATATGTAGTTTTTCGGTGTATTTCCACTCCTCGGTGTCCTTTATGGGCTTCTTCTCCAACACGACGAGAGACTTTGCAGAGGATCGGGACGTGAGCAGCTCGCCGCGCTGACTGGGAGTGTAGTTAAGTTTTGAAATGACATCAGCCCGCAGAAAAAATGTGAACCTGCGCTGCGTTCAGGGACCACTCGTAAACTGTAGATTACAATGTAACACAACAAGTGGGTTAAATCAATCACCAATTTTTAATTTGATTGCCATTTGATTTGCCAAAGAAACAATATTCGTGACACTGTATCCAGAATAAGATGAGCTGAAACACCCAAATTTGCTGTAAAATGCACGCAAACTTAGACATGTAGTCCAGTGGTACGTAAACATACCATATGTGAATCTCTTTTAGTCCTCCAGTACACCAGAGGACACAATTTCTCTCCCATGACAAGTTTTTTTGTTTGTACCATGGATCTATAATATGAACTGTCTAACTAATCTATCTCATATCTTTAATAGTATCTTAATATACTTCCATGATTTATAATTAAAGCTTTTTCACACCCAAAATGGGCTGTTGCCACCAGGCCTATCCTATAATTTCAGTTTTATAGTTAACATAATAATTGGATATAAAGGCTATTACTGTATGGCTCACAATCTACTAGATCTGCAACCACTGGTTCCATAAAATTCAGCTCAGAGGGTGAGTATCCCTTCCTCCAGCTCTCTCCCAGCCCCTGCCATTGACATTCCTGTCCCGTGGGTATGTGTGTATGTATGTGTGCATGTATGAACGCCTATGTGTGTGTGTCAAACAGCTGCAGTGGCCTGTCCCACAGTAGCTCACTAATGCGTGTTTACTCACTGCAGGAATGTGTTGACTGTTTAAATCCACTCACGCTCTGACAGGTGCTGTTTTCAGTGTGGCCCTGGGCCCAGGACAGCTCCGTGATGGTGACAGACGTGACTGTATTGTTTCATTTTCTTTGCATTTTAGAACAGTGCTTCTAAAATGTTCAGACCTATAGACCACACTTTGGAGATGCAGATGTTTTAGGTATAAGCCAAATTAAGTTGTCCAAAGGAAATTTATGATACAGCCCCTAGGCGTAGTTTGCATATGATTTTGGTTTCTTTTCCCGTATCCTATGCTTCTGCACTGATTGATGTCTAAATGTGTTTCACTTTTAAGAACTTACAGGTTGCAATTTTATTATAAGATGTGGGCAATGCATGATTTCACACTCCATGGCATGATAGCGCCCTCTTAAGGACACGGATGCTCGCACACTTTGGTTGCGACTACTCAGTTACGTGGTACGATCAACATAAACTTTCTGATGTGTGGTTGACCTGAATATCATCCATAGATGTTCAACTGGCTTCTATAAACTTGATTTTTATGTATTTAATATTGCTCATATTTCAAGCAAATGTGTAGCCTAATAATGTAATGACATATGACCGCTAGAGGTCAGCAAACACCAGGTAATAACAGAAAGACAACAGGGACAAAGACGCTTAGTCAGCCACTAGAGCGCTGACACAAGAATTACAGAGCACTACATTTTTCTCTTCTAAACAATGACATCTATGAATTTGACCATGTTCAAAATAACACTCATCTTACTATTAATTAGCCCATATATAGGAACACATTTTTATGACTAGGATAATAGTAAACAGGCCTATTATGTGCATTAGATTTATTTTATCTTGTTGGTGTGTAGGCTATGTGTATCTATAGGCTACCCTAGACAGCAGTTTTATATTTAGCCCCAGTTATTTTCAAATGTATATTTCTGTTTGTGTCATAAAACTGATAATAAACAGCCTGTGCCGCCTGTTTGAATCCAGGTGGTCTTTGTAATATGAGAGTCCACATTTACAGTGGGATGAAGAGATTGGTGCAGTAATGTGCCCTGTGTGTGGAGACAGACAGACATCCGGACCTGGTTATGGGCTGTTATTTAGGCGACTATGGTGCCAACTGCCAACCCCAAAATCAGACAAAATAAAGCACTCTGAAAACACCAGGAAAACAAACTGAGTTGGAAGAAGAACTAAATGTTGTTGTGGTAAAAGTACAGATACAAGTAAAAGTATCACATAAAATTGTAAATCTAAGTAAAAGACGAAGAAGAGGCAATGATGTGGACTACACATAGCCAATAAACATGCATATGTGCACTGAACAAAGGTAAGTAGCCTCTTTGAATAGAATTTTGACTTGTGGGGAATTGGCATCAACAGAAACAACTGAATCGATCTCTTAATTTTTCTTAAAACTTTATATAGGCCAAATCCTATGTGGGATTTGAACTAAAGTGGAGCTATGAAAAAGGCCTACCTCAAATAGACGTCTAATCAATAATTTGTACTTCGTACTTTTTATCCACCACTGGATGTAAAGGGTTATATTAGGACGTTGTTGGACTTACCATAGAGGGCAAGGTGACAGAAACTAAGGCTTATATATGGACTGGGATTTCTCTGAGGCTTCCTCCTTGTTCGAAAAAGAGCAAGTAAATATGTGAATTTAAAGAGCCCATGTGTGGAACTCTCTTCTGTTTGACTATGGTGGTAACCTGTAAGTGCCATGAAATTGTTGCTGAGATATGGCATTGGCACCCACCAGTATTTCTAAAAGGAAGAGAAAAGAATGTAGTTTAGCATTGTCTGTTAAGGTTTAGCCTTTTTGACACCATTTTGCAAGCCATTCCCTATAGGAAAGGCAGGCCCAGTGCAAGTTTGAAAATGAAAAGCTGACTTGTGTTGTTCCCTCCCACTGTGCGGGTCTCAAAGAGTGAATCAGTGTTTTAGACGAGAATGAAAGGAGTAGGAGGAACTGTCTGTCTGAAGGCTGCTCAGAGTCTGTGGAGGAGGGAACGAGACATGCACAGTGCAGTATGGCTTTGAGCTTCTTTTATGGGGTAGCCTACTTTATCTAAATTATTTTGCTGCCAGTCAGTTAGTTAGACAGCCTACTTTATTAACCTCCTTAGGAGAAATAAAAATGTAATGGCATTTTTTTCTTTCCTGCTGCTTAGAATGTCCATTAAATGGTTTTATGTCAGATGCCCTTCCCTGGTGATATTGTCTATTTATCTGAGCTTGGGATGAATTGACACTAATTACTGACCAAACTATTCAGGTTGAGACCTATGGCCTAAGCGTTATGAAACAACAAAACAACACATTTCTATTGAAATAGAAAAGAGTTGAACTGCCTTCTACAATGCACAATTTTCTTCATTCTTCATTTTATAGTGGCTTATCGCATTCATTTTCTCTTCAACTTTTCTGTTCAATGACCAACAGATTCATGGACATGACACGTGAGCTCACCCATTAAAAGCCCCCTCTCCCCCACTGCCTGCACGTGCTCCCCCCGTCTGCACGCGCGTCTCCTGCAGGGGGCGACATTACCCAAGCGGTTCCTCCGTTCACGCATGCACCTTGGCACGTACGCCGGCCTGTGAATCCTTCGCTGCGCTAGCTCAGCCTCTGCCTCTGCTTTACATCCACACATTTCCTCCACACATTCAGACCTACATAATACCACACCATGGCACCACCCTGAGTCCGTGCGGCTCGGCGCTGCTCGGCCTGGTTCTTCTCGGCCCGTGTGCTTGTGATGGCGGAGGATTGTTTGAAGTGACCGAGACCTGCGCCTCATCTGGACTTGGTCACGGTCTGTAGTCAGCAAAATCCGCCCGTGTTCAACCAGCAAGCAACAAGTATCCTACATGACGGGCTTTAGGCTAAACAAAAATACAATTCACACTTCTTATACATACTTCTTGTACTTCACATTATGTTTACCTCGTTAAAATTATGTTATGATCACAAAAGAATTGAATAACACTTCTTAGTTTACAAAAACGAAAACCACAATCTAAGAATCACAGTCACAGTGCTTGCTTGGAAATGACCGTGTCTAAATGTATTTATTCAAATGCATTCAAACTAATTAGGCCAATTTTTGTAATAATTTTAACCCAAAAAAATCTTAAGGTCTGAGTCTGGACACACCTATTAGCAAACAAATGACCTTTTAATTTGGTGGATCAAATCTCAACAATTAAGAATGATTTTTTTCAGATACAGTGTGTTATTTTCTTATGAAACTGCGTGCTGTCTTATTTTGTGCCAACCTTGTCTTGTAACGTTGCCTATTTATATTTTCCCTTCAGGTTTCAGATTTCTTCATGAAGATTATGAAACGGGCCCTTTTTATAATCACATGCACCGTTGATTTACAAACTCCCTGGACTTGTTCTCGAGGCGTGTTGAGCGACCACTCCTCCACTCCTGCACCATTTCTTCTATCCTGCTACTCCCTCCAGAACGAAAACATCAGCCATCTGGTCCAGGGTTCAAAGGTCAACTCTCAGGCTGGTAATGAGGATGGCGTCGCTAAGGGGGTAGACACGGGAGGGGTGGGCGAGATTGTGTGTATTTGTATGGATGTGTGTGTGTGTGAGGCGGCTTCCTGAGTGTGCATTAAACATTAACGACCAGGGGGAGAGGAGACACAGAGGCCTAAAAAGGGAGTAGGTATACAAGCACCATGCATAAAGGTAACACGCATAGATAGAGGCAGACACATGCAACGGTATATAGGTCATATGAGATGAAAAATGTGCTTCAATTCTGTATAGTAAAGTTTAGGGCTGGGCAAGTAATTTTTTAATTGCCAGTGATATTGTTGGAGGTTTTAAATAAAGATGGCCAATCCTGTGTCCATAAAATCAAGTGGTTTGGAGCAGGATTTGGATTTTGTAGAAATACATTGGGCTGTTTTTGTGAGATTGCTTATAATCCAGAAGAATTGACGGCCGAATGACCTCTGCCGATATTTTTGGGCCGATTTTGGTTATTTTTCCCAAATTGTGTAATTAGAATTCAGTACAAACACATCTGCAATCTTGTTGTCACATCTTTGCATTACCCTCTTTAAACATAAGTGTTCAATTAAAGCTTTATTCATACATTTTTCTTGAATATTTAGGCAGCTGGTTGGACCAAACAAAATAATGGCTGCTGAAGATGTAAGGCCGATAATCCATTAGCTAAAAAACTAATAATTTCAAGTTTATCATGTTCATGGCATCAATACTGGTTTTGAAAAGAAAAAGTAATCAAATCAAAATCACACTGACTTTACTTTATTACCCAGCCCTATTAAAAGCACTGTTACCTTTAGGACACAAAGAAATTATTGTAGTGACAGTAAAAATAAAAATTAAACATTAACTTGAGTCAACTTTACAACCACTTTACATCTTATTACTCTCACTGTGATGATCAGTTTATAGGACGACTGATAATATGATTTTTTAATTATTTGCATGGCTATTTATATCAGCCTTGCACTGAAGTAGTTTTTTTTTGTCCCCCACAATTGTACAGTCGCTATAACTGATTAACGGCCTAATTGTCCAAAAAGGTTTACTTAACCCTAACAAAACTCACTTTGCTGGTTAGTTTCTTGCTTCCAAAAGTGTGTCTCCTCTGCTGTTTATTGACTCTAAGCGTGGAGCACATCAATATCTATGGTCGATGGCAGAGCAAAAGGAACAGTGGCTATAGACAAGTTACACATTCATGCATTTGAAGGACCCACACTTCCTCCAACAAATCTCATAATTAGTTCCACTTATTTTCTGCCATAATTGTGACGATTTCCTAGTTTCCATAGTGTGCAAATCTATGCAGTCATGTGATGGAGGGAGAAAAATCCCCCTGTGACTTCTATTCGCAGTGTAATAATGGCAACATTCTTATGTGTGGTGCGGAGAACTAACACATAAACACTTATAGGCTTCTGTGACCTTAAGACTTGGTTGCGTTGTTGCCATAGGGATGCTAATGATGTTAACTGTAGTAGTAAAGTTTGTTGCTGAACACATTGGAGGAACATATGGAGTAAGATATAATGCAATGTTTTAATTTGCATTTACATTGAATCGCCAGGCTTATGTATTCAGTACCATAGTGTAAAGCCCCATAAGGAATGAAAAAGGAATAAAACAAATATTTGGCTCACAGGCAAATACCAGGGACGAATCCAATCAGTACATTAGTGCACTGCAGCCATTTTCCTCTTAGAGTCATGACTAGACATTTCCATGTTCATTGAAATGTTATTAATCAATAATTACTTACTTCAATACAGTGTCAAGCTGTCCACCAACAATCCAGTCCCTCCTCTATTTCCATGCTGGGTTAAATAGATAAAGAAGAGCATTTGGCTTAGAAATAAATACATTTCACATGCACAAGTTGTCCTATTTACTTGTAGTTTTGTGGTTCAGCTTTGTGCACTTTTAAAATATATATTCTTTTCTTGAGCCTCTCCACTCCTCCTGACTGATATTTCTGTCTGCAGATCTTGTTGAAATTCAGGTGGTGGGTAGAGACACCTCCTCAGCCCACAGGAACTCAAATTGTTTGCGAGCACCATTCTGTGAGAGGCAGCTTTCCAAATGCTTCATGCGCCCGTCATAAGGTACTAAATATCACAGCGATGCCGAGCTTGCGTTAGCATGTGTAATGTGTATCGATCCTCATTTTAAAGTGCAGGCATTAATCTCATTCTCCAGAGAGTAGCGCACAGTTTACTTTTTGGCAAAGGCTGGGTGAACGGAGTTTGTTTGACAATCCCAAAGAAATTAAATGCATAACTCTCTCTGCATCCAGTAGCTAAATGCTGTTGAGAAAATTATGTTGTATAAGCTTTACTAAAGAACCACTTAAGATTTTATAAAATTTGCCACCCAAAAGCACTGCATAAGATGGCTGTGTTTTAAGATGGTCATTGTACAGAAATTGAATACAATCTCAGTGTGTGTCAACTGTGTCTTTTGTGTTTATACCAGCCTCAAACCAGGTGCCCGATCATCATCCAAATCAAGAGGAAGATAATAATGTGATGTGATTTCTAGAATAAAAAATACAATTACACGCACACATCAACACGGGAAAATATGTAACAATTGATGATGTAATGAACGTATCAGGTCCTAAGCAAACAATTAACCCTAAAGAGACTGTAGTTAAAGCTACAGTGTGTGTGTTTTTTTCCCCAAAATATTAAATTAAAATAAATCTTTTTTTATTTTGGTATTGGTTATTGCACACAACAACTTGGAAAAACATGCGTCCCTACTCTGAGCGAACTTGCATCTCCACAAACCTGACTCTTCTTTGGCCTGGATGAGGGCCTCCTCCTACTTGTTTCCATGAAAATGTTGTTTCTTTGGCTATAATCTTGTACAGTATGGTGTGTATATATGTTGCCAAATTCAACAGAATACTTCCTACAGTTATATGTTTACACATTTAAAATATTGCCTGCATAAAGACAGCTAATTTGAGTGTTTTATCCGAGGGGGTCTTTTGGGGTCTGGTTCTGCAGTGAGATAGGCCCGACCCGAGGCTGTCCCTTGCTCAGACAGTGACAGATCATGCCGACTCAGTGTCTGGGCCTCTCCTCCTCCCTGTGCTGCACTCCTCAGTGTTTATGTGGGCCGACTGTAGCGTGAGCGCGTCCCACACCGCGTCCTGATTGAAGGAAAACAACATCAATTCAGCCCTGACCCCCGGCGCTCACAAATCCACCAGACTGTTTGCTGCTGTTCACTCACTCATGTTGGGTTTCCGTGCTTCTTGGGGACATTACATTGACTTACATTCATTTCCTCGAGACTGATCCTGACTCTAATCTTACTTACCTAACCTCACCCTAAACCTTAACCTATTTTAACTCATATCTTAACTTGGCGACCTAATAATCAAGGATGTACTTCGCTTTACGATTACTGACAGGTCCCCATAAAGTGAGAATGTATCCAGGTTTTAGCCCCCCCCTTCTCCCCCCCACCAACACAGAAATGAACAGACCATATTGCTGAGTGCATACAGTATGTGGACTTTATGTTGCACTTTATGTTCTGCACATTATTGTTTTAGTACTAACAGCGCTCCCTGTAAAATGAATACATACATATGATGGGTTGATTCTTTTAAATGACATTACTTTACTATTGTGTTGCCTTGTGTATGGTCCTTGAAGCCCACATCTACAAAGACAAAAACGGTATAACCACAGAGCCTATACTTACACAAAATGGGGAATATCTGTGAATGGGAAAACCCTTATTTTTTTCAGCAACAAAAATCATAATCATTTATCCCTAAACCAAAGGATCCCAAGTCCATGTTTGGCTCTATATTCTTAGCATGGTCTTCCAGAGGTCTGTGCCCTCAGAGTGCTTCTAGTTTTCTTTGTTTTATCAACGCTTTGCCTGACTGTCTGGAGGAGGCCATTATTTTCCACAGATATAAATATTCTCCCCTCAACTCCACACTCCCTTTGAGCTCTTTTAGGGGGCTCTTTCTCCTCCCTTTGGCCCAAATACTCCCCCTAAAACCCTGCCGCTTTGCCCCAGAGAGCAGAGGTCCCCGCAGCCCTCTTCCCTCATCACTCCTGGTTTGATACTGCATTTTGTCTCACCACTCAGAGGCTAAAAAACTCAGGGGAAGACTTTGAAGATGCTGTCGAAAAGGCCAAGTCTATGACGAAGATCAATTTGTAAGGTTAAAGGAACATCTGTGCACACTTTCAGGCTGCGCTCATTCGACTAGTAAATAATTCAGAGGATGTTGTTATGTGAAACTGATAGGGCTCGGCCTTTATAAAGCTCGAAGTCTCATTTAGACAAGTCAATACATTGCAAAGTGCGTTATAACAGTCCTATACTCATGGCTGTATAGCTGGAGGCAGATTGAATTGATTTAGTAATTGACAAATTGACAAAAGCTTCAACTTTTTCTGCTAGGTTCTAAAACTGAAACCATCTTATAGTATATGCTTAATATCTTTTTAATAATTGTGTCCTTAAGCCACCGAATCAGTGTTGCCTGTGTGAATGAGAGAGGCAGTTAGACCAATGGTGAATATTTAAACCAAGTATTGGATTTGTATCAAAACTATTTTTACTCATAGTCTCTTGCATGATTTCAGTTCAAATAGATCTGACTAGTATCTTAGCTTAGTGGTGTCGTGTTTAATGCTGTGCGATGGAATATTCAGGCAAAATAATAACATCTCCATGGAGACAAGAAGGAGGAGGACATCTCTGCAGAAAAGTTACATGTACAAAGTTATAAAATCTGAAATACCAATGCACTGGTGAAAGCGTCAATGGAGTAAAGTAAAAACTTTAAGCTAGGTTCAAGTCCTTGTTATAAAACTGTTTATTTCATTAGTTTCTTTCTTTCTGGTTTACTTGAGCTACCCAAATTTACTCCCCCTCTTCTCTTTTTTGCAGATGTGTAGATGGATGAGGCCTAGATGGTGTACCTCTCAGTCACCCAGTAAGTGTCCTCGGGGTCACCTGGAATAAAAACTCCATGTGTCCAGACCCTTTTCCTAACACGTGCACTAACTCACGCTCTGCTAGTGGAGGCGACATTGTGCAGACTTGACAAAAAAAGAAAGTACAAAAAAAACTTGGATGGTGATGTAGAACAGTCCCACCTCCCACACTCCAAACATAGGCATTACGAGGTGTCCCGGGCTGAAGACAGACGATGAGGGTCTGGTTAGGATTAGACCATAACATAACCCTATAGCTGCGTCTCAAATGTGTATGGCTATCTTTCATCCACACCTGTTCTAGCTCTGATTTGTACAGTAGCCCTCTCAATAAGGAGTGATAAAATTACCTTTGAACCTCGTTTTTATTTCACTGGTGGAAATTTAGTAGCAGCAGGGATCTAGACCATCATAATATAACATTTATCTACTGCTGAGAAGTCATTGAGAAGCAAGAAAAAGTAGTGGGTTGATACGTGAGCCTAAAGCAACTCACTGGTTGTTTATAGTCAGTAGAAAGAGTAGAAAATGTATGCATTTTGTATTCTGAATACTTAGTTTCACATTTAGCTGCATTATATTATATTATAGTGTAGTGTAAAAAGCTCAACATCATTAATTAGAGGAGGAAAATCACACATGCCCAGATGCTTTTACATTACTGAAACAAGTAACACATTTAAAGGCCCCATATTACACTATTTTCTGATCTGTTATTTTTTGATCTCAGCTCAAATATGCAGGAAACATGTGAATGAAACAAAACACAGCACAGTCAGTTTTATGTAGTATATTACTTTTAAAAAACTTTTTAGGGCCACGCTCAGTGCGTTAGAGTTGTTGTAAGTGGAAAAATCAAACTACATGCAAAATGTGGTCATGAATGCATACAACCTTTGAGAGTATAAAAGTATTTGTTCCTTGTTTTACATGCATTTTAATTGCATCAGCGCTTTTTTGACTAATAGAACTATAAAATTTGAAGTAGTTACAAGTATGCTTTTGAAATCTTGCCATTAGATTATGCCTTTTCACTTTTTCAGCAATGACCTTTGTTTAAGTGACTTCATCTTTAGCTCCCCACATCTGCACTCTCACAAAGCGGCTGCCCCTGCAGGAAGTGGTTACATTTTGGGCTTTCTGGTTTGACATGCCTCTCCTGTCTGCATGTGTGTGAGTGCACCCAGGATTAGGAGCTGAGGCCCTGCTTGAGGTATCAGAGACAGACATGGTCACTCCTTTCTTTGTCTTTCTGTGCAGCTTTACCCCCGCCCCATTCGCTCCCCAGTGGCCCGGTGATGGATTGCAGACCGCAGGGGTGAAGGTGGAGAGGTGGAGGGGAGGTGCGGCTGCTGTGTTTTCGGGTGAAGTTTTTGTCATGCGAGCGAGCTAGCGGCGGAGGTGAGTGGTGTGAAACCTGTAATGATGAAATGAGTCACTAATCACAGTGATTAAAGGCTTGATGAGGGGGCTGGCTCTGGGACGGTGCTGTGAGCTGCACTGTCTCCAACATAAAGACCAGGCCAAATGTGTTACCATAGTACATGACCAAGGCAGGTTTTAAAATGGCTTAAAATGTGTTCCTTAAAACAAGTGCAGGTTAATAATATGTGGTATTATTGACTCACAATTAGCTGTGATTAAATAAGTGTAAGAAGACACACTTCACCTGTTAGGCCATCAGAGTCAAATAGACAAAAATACGAGAAATGCATACAATTAAAAAATATAGAATAAAAGTCATTAAAGGAAAGATAAGTTCACAATCTGTACAAAAAATATAGGACAAATGGTATTAAAGGGGACATTAAAGGCTAACCTTAACTTAAACTTATCCTTAAATTAATCAGAACTGTACTGGACTCAAATCAGTGCAGTCGGTGCAAAAAGTGCAACCAAAATAGGAATAGAGCAGATGTATTTTATCTGTGAAATTTTTTTTTCAATTATAGAACCCCTTTTTAAGTGTTAGAGAGCCTCTTATATTTAATTTTCCCCAATTCATTTCATAATCACCTTTCAAAAATATACTGAATATGAGAGGTGTTCAAATGTCTCTTATTATACACATGCAAGGCCCATTGAAAAGGCCTTACTCAATGGATATTGATTAAATATGCCCCCACCCCCACCCCCACCCCCATTCAGACAATGCTCATGGTCATCACACTGACCACACAGGCTCCCACCATATTAAATGAACTCACTGCTTCTGTAACGGTTTGTGGGTTTATGCTCTCTCACGTCACCATCACTTACAATAGAAATAAAGCCCCGCACATTACACTTCAATTAACCATTTAATATGGCCATTAAAAGAGTTCCATTTCAGAGCTGTATGATAACAGTTTGAAAAGTGATATAGGGTTTTATGGACTATACCTAATAAATCTATACAATAAAGACACCAGGGTGGTTGGGCTAAATGTGGTGAAATTGAAGTGTGTGTTTAATGAAAAAATACAATAACAAGAGAAGATAGTCATCAAAATCCTGGCATTAGATCTATATGGGGTCTTTTAGGCAATTTTCTTAACAATAGATCGTGAGGCCTTATATTCAAACGGGAATTGATGTTTTCATATGGTAAAATAAGGTTTCAGTCTAGAGACACTTGCTTGATGGTATAAAACGTGGAATATATATTTTTGTCATAGTTTTGCTGACCAGAAGATACAAACTAAACTACAAACCAAAATAATTATTGGAAAAATAATTGGTTATATTTACTTAATTAAATTTTTGACATTCCTTGTGTAACTTCTGCTAGATGGTTGTCACCTGGTTGTTTCCATAAATATTTTATTTTATTTTTATTTATTTATTTACAGTTATTACTCTGCCTTTAATGTTCCACAGAATGGTATTGCATGGTATTAAACTTGTCAATCTTCATGGAGCTAAGCAGGTGACACTTCAAGGCCAAGTTACAAGTCAGATCTGTGGACAGCTCAGATCAGAAACAATAAAATATTTTTTGAATTGATTAAATAACATAAGTTCCATAGCACACCTTTAACTTTATCTTCAACACATTAATTGCTAATAATTCTGCAACCTAATTCTAACCTAACCTAATTCTGCAACAGTACAAACGTAGGACCACATGGGGTCAACACACTGAACAGTTTTATTGTACATCCATTCATTTGCACAATATACTCAATAAGTGTTAGATCACATGTCCTGATACAGATCTCTACTACGCTTCTCAAATGCTGTCTATAAAAAAACACTTTCACAGGCCTCAGCTTACTTCCTGTGTTCACTCATACAAGAGAATATGAGCCAAACCACTGCACTTTCTGCACAGCTTCAGTAATGTTGTCTCAACCCGCGCGGCATCTATTTTCAAATGCCATGCACACAATAAACAAACATACTCTCACTCCACCAAAGTGGGTTTCTTTGTAGCACTTTTCTAAAAGTCAAAACAAATTACTCAAAAGTGGTGCATTGTGGAAAACATATTACAAATAAGTAACTCAAACCAGTGGTGGAAGGTAACAAAGTAAAAGTTGTACAGTACTTAAGCATACATTTTAGGTATCTCTACTTTACTAAGTAAGTGGATACTTTTTTAATTTTACTTCACTACATTTGAGAGCAGGTATTTGTACTTTATACTCCACAAATTTTTTTTACTGGACTGAAAAGTAATATGTTTTTTTTATGATAGTTTGAGATCTGCTGAAAAGACTGAAGGGTTTAATTTGAACACATTTGTAGTTTGAGCAAACAAAACTATGCAAATAAAATCAGCAAGAAAAAAAATGACAAAATCACTGCATTCGAAGCTTTATTAAACCTCAAAATATGCATTAAATAATTTTACTTTTTCAGTACATTTTAAAACAGGTACTTTGATACTTGAGGCAATTTTTTTCATGTGATACTTTTACTTTTATTTGAGTTTTTTTTTTTTTTGCTCTTTTATTAAAAATTTTGTATTTGTATTTAGTTTTATATTTAGACACAAACTGATGCAAACACAATCATTCCTACCACCACGACTTTCTACTTACATATATTTCATTCAGTACTACTATTATTACTACTTTTGCAGCTTTACCACAAACACCACAATTACTTATACTTAGATATAAGTTTCCATTGCTGTCACTTGTATTGCATTGGATGTCAGGCACATCATCTGCTCCTTTCATTGTACTCATTCAAAACAATTTTTGACTTATGTACAAATTTATGCTGCAAGAAAAGCCCTTTAAACTCAAACAGCGTGTTGTTTAGTTGAAACCCAGACACTCTATAGACTTGACAGACGGTCCTTTCTCACATGATCCAAAAATGAGAAACAGACTGTTGTACTTGTTTGCATGGACCCAGGACAGATGGGTTTAATATGACTGTTTTTCTTATAGACCAAACAGAACATTTTATAGAGAAAAGACAGGGCAGAGAGGGACATCACCCCAGAGGCAGTGTCATCTGAGGCCTCTCTCTAGTTCTAAGTATATGTATGATCACACCTTTTGGCTGAAACTGAAACAGTTTGGGGCTTACACATTTTATTTTGTTCATCAATGACAACACCACTTCAGTGTAAGTTTTCTGACAAAGTTACACAGTGCACTTTTAAAGGCCCTTTTATTACACAAAATTGACTCATGAGCTTTTAGTCATGTTATAATGCTGTTACTTCATCATAAACATACCTGGGGTTGTGTTTTGTTTCATTCACACATGTTTGAATAAAACTTTATTATTAGTCTACAATGCTCTGTTCAACCTTGTGATGTGATGAAGCAGTTTTCAAGTTAATGGCAACCTTTTACCTTTTGTTCATTGGAGATTGTCTGAAATGATGGGAATGATTCTACTGAAAGTGTATGGAGTTGAAAAACACAGTTGAGCAATTTCTGTATTAGCACATGTCATCACAAGGTGGAACAGAGTATTTTCCTTTTAAGAGAAGAACTCAGCCTAAATATGCAGGATTTGTGTGTTAAATATGCAAAACAAAACACAACTCCAGGTATGTTTGTGATGAGGAAACAACATTATAACATAGATCAGAAAATAGCGTAATATGGGCCCCTTAAATTCTTAGGGAAAACTATCAATACATTCACTCAATCACTCATTATCCATTACATTTTAGTTATTATTAACACATCAGTTTGTTAAATTGTTTTATAATATATCCCTCACATCAATTGGTCATAAGTCTTAAACTACTTTTAGGATATCAAAGTCAATGGTCAAAGCATCACAGGAGGAAGCTTAAAACAATACAGAAAATTACGGAAGTGGAATGGAGAAGCTTTGAGGCCAAAACAAAGTTGTAAAATGTATTTCCTATGATGTTTCTTGCTTTAAATGCTCAGTGCAGTTGTCAGCTGTGATCTGAGCAGCTTGTGTGTGTTGATAGAAGGCTGACCCGGGCAGAGCAGGAGAAATCTAATTCTTGCTCAAATTGAAGAGATTGTCAGAACTAAGCAGAGCTGACAGGAAAAGCCTTTATACTTTGTGTTGGACAGAGAAACTGAGATGCCCGTGTCCATTTAGAAACAAAACCATGGCATTTGAACAGCTTGGGTGATTTTGGTTTATAAGGAGTGGAGATCAGCAGGGATGCATGATTGTGAAAAACATATAAATATAATATAATATAAAAATTATCTGTAAAGGAAGAATAGACTGCTCACAATTGACTAATGTTTTGAGATTCAGGTTTTAAAAGCCACTGTACACTGTAGCTTTCCTCCATTTCTCTTTTGTGTGCCCATATCAGTCAGAACATAATAGATTTTTTATTGGTTAGAGTTATAATTTGAATCTTTTTTTTAAATTTTATTTATTGTGCAGCCCTTGTGTCATGGCTATTAAACAAAAACCTCAATATCAAACATGATAGTTGTCCCATTTATCGGTAGTGCATGAAGTTGCAACAATCCCATATTAGTATAAATATTAAGACCTCCTTCTATAATCTAGGAAATGTTCTTATGATACCTCTCCTATATCGGTCTGTGTTATGTTGATGCTGAGCTCTTCTCTTCATTTGAACAGATGGACGAGGCAGGACGGGTGAAAGGGGAAAAGCAGCAGAGCCACACGGAGCAGAGCCTGGACACATCACACTGAAGGAGAAGCGTCAGACAAGACACAGACACGGGCGATGAGAAATGGCCCACAGAGGAACACAGGTGAAGATCATCTCATTTGTCCAAACTTCACATCATTGCCGATTATTAAAAAGAAAAGCCCCCCCAGCCCCCTTTTATTTTTAATGAGTTGAAAATCAATTAATCCCTCCTAACACAGACATCGGGGTTTAGTCACTGTTTGAAAATGTGTAAGTTCTCCTACAAGCATTTTGTCTTGTCTTATTCCTGGATGTTAACAATACTTTCCCTGCATACTACAGCCATAAAAATAATGAAAAAAATTTTTAATAATAATGTTGGACGTATAAAATAATGATAACTATGACTGACAGTATAAATATTGCAATTATAGTAAGTTTCTCTATATATCTTTGGAGAAACACTTCTTCACATTGTACTTATTAGCCATTTGTAGCTACTTCGGGTCTTAGGTGGGTAACATTTTCTTATATTTGATGATATGTTTTGTTGACTAATGGCACTGTATTCTTATGTAACAGAATCACTTTATACTTGTTGGGAAGATTTTTCTGCAAAATACACAAACAAACTGCACATTAGCTGTTACAGTCAGATTCTGTTGTAGAAAAGTATAAATCTAAGTGCACTCAGTTCACAGAGAAAGGTCAAAAAAGAAGATAAAATCAGAGCAGAGAATGACTTTATAGAGACATATCAGATAGAGACACATCTGGAAAGTCAACACACAGTGTAGATTAGGCCTACATGCAGATAAAATCTTTGAAAACAATAATCTGGTCTTTTATGTCAAACATCAACATTGATTCATTTTCAGGAGGAAATATGTTGTTTGTTGCTAAAATAATTTGAACTTTTCAACGTTCCATTAGTTTGGGTTCACATCGAATCTGTGATTTGAAGGATTAAATGGAGGATTACATTTATTTCCACATCAAAGCAAAATGAAGCGAAACAAAATCAAGTGTTGCAGCTATAGTTGGATCCTAGACCTGATTCATGTACTTTGGATCAGATACAGACTGTATCTGGTCCAAAGTACATTCTACTGTCTCATGCAATATACTATCAATCATCTGTCATAAGTAACAGAAATTATAGAGACAGATAAGAGAAACAAACAGAGTGGAGCTGGGTAGTTTAACAAGATTCAAGAATCATAGGGGCAGAGGGACTCACCTTTTGTCCCTCTCATGTAATTCTCATATCTAGAAACATCATATAATACCTTTGTATATGAGTGTACAGTGATAAAACACAGAACTTTTTGTATGTTGTGGTCTGTTGTGTTCATTGAACTATGCAGTCCATACTAAATATTTGACCAAAGCACAATATATATTTTTTGTGAATAATATTTTATCTGCTTATTCAGAGTAGAGAGACAGATGCAGGACAAACCCCTATATTCCCTCTATAATTGCATTTGGCTGTAGTCAGTAGCCAAACACATTTCGTGGTAACTTTCAAATGATAATGCACGATCACTAGTTGGATTAAATCACCTCACTTTGCTGGGAATGTTCCTCCTGAGAACCACATTACCACGGTGATAAGGTCCTGCCCTTTCCTCTCTGCCCTTTGACCTTTGCTCTCTTCCAAGGCGGCATGAGCCCTGAGTCAAACAGAATCCCCCAAAACAATGACAGCAGAAATGTGTGATAAAAATAGATGGCGCTGCTGGGTCTGTTTTGCTTGAATTGGGCCTTTTAAGCAGGAGTCAGGACTTTGTGGTAACTTTTGCAGGAGGAGGTCATATTCTGTATGCTTGTTTTTGTTTTCTGTGTTTTTCTGTGTACCTCAAATGCAATCTCACCTGAAGAGTATGAAAAAGAATGATGAACAATATGATAATAAAATGTATGTCATTTTTTATGTAAATACCAAACTACAGTGTCATTTGGTTTCTTTGTAGGATTACAAATAATATCACAAAATTGTAATCTTTGTTGTCACTTGTTAAGTTAAAAAAGTACTGTGAAATATTTATGATAATCTTTAGAGACAGTTCAGGATTTTGCAATTATTATATTTTCCATTTTGTCAATATGAGGTCCTTGTTAAATAAAGGTACTGCATATGATGTATTTTGAAGATAAAAGAAACCATTGATGCAGTTGCTTTTCAGTGGCTCTAAAATATAATTTGCTTGAAATTATAAAAAATCTAGACCTAAGATAATGCTAATTTTAGTTTCGAAATTAAGTTCATTATTCATATTTTGTATATAGAGTATCTTCAGCAGTTCTTACTTATGACCTCTTCATTTATCATCAGTTTTGGCGCTGACAAAGGGTACTCCCATAGCTGATTTCTTATTTTAACTTGTCTACATCATGTACTGTGGCATGTTGCTTTATTATCAATGTAATTTTAAATTCTTGGTTTAATAATCGGTTTAAAAGATTTGCTGACCATACAGTTCTCTGGGCTATATAACTTTTATCTTATGGAGTGAATCTGTTCGGCAGGTAATAGACCCATTCTTTCAGTTACACCAATTGGAGACATCCCTAAAGGCGCATGTTTTGTTCCTCCTAAAATCACCACTCCAGATGCAGAGCTAGCGAGTAATTGCCAAATGTTTTTCTTGCATCCTGCGCCCAGATACAGGAGGAGAGTGAAATAATTGTTGAAGAGACATTACACTGAAGATGGAGCCAATACAATGAAGCCTAATGTTATGGTGACAGCCTGCAGTCTCCTCTATAATTTTGTCCTTATCCATTTTGTTTGTTTGCCTTTGTGTTTGAGCATACATGTATTTGGAAGAAAAGAATTTCCCACAATGCCATGCTTATAAGTGGTGGTAAACAATCACGCCATGCTCCTAATTTTGTTGTCACGATTTGAGCTGTATTGTGAATATATGTGTGTAAAGTGCTACAGCAATGGCACTAGCAGGCAGCGTGTGTATTATAATAAGTGTGAAAAATCTCATTAATGCTGTTCGGTGCTGCTATGGCTGAAGTCCCTTGTATTGTCACTTTTCTGGCGGGCCCCCGAGCGCTAGCTGGCTAACTAGCATCATTGCCATGGCGACCCCAGCAGCAGAGATGCCTTCCCCACTCAAACTCACACCTTACCCTCTCCCTTTTTGTGCTGTGACAAAGCTTGACAAACCGCATGTGACTCAGAGGGCTTAGCGCCGGGGAATTGTCAGAACGCCCCCCACCCCACCAAAACACCCCCACACCTCCCCAGCGCCTCCCCACTCCAACCCAAAATTCTAAATAAGTGGCCATAGTGATTTTTAATGATGCCATGGGGTGTGGAAGACCCCTCTGCTGTTAGAATGGTACAGGATAGCCCGAGCAAGTAGCTTCTCAGTTGGAAATTAAAATGCTGAAGGCGTTTAGTTTTTCCGTGTGATTTTCTTTCTCATTCTCTCTTTCTAATGTTATGCAGAGTTTAAAAAAAAATAAAAAATGGATCAGTAAAGTGTGTTTTGTCCAAGTCAAGATTGAACAAACTAGAACAAACTAGCACCTTACATTGTATTATTCATTCACTAGCTGGTTGTAAGTGTCTTATATAGCTACAGCCTGTCCAACCACTATAAGACAATTAGACCTACGTGTTCAAATATGCATTCATACCGGCAAGTTGGATGAAGACTTGCCCAAGGACACAACAGCAGTAGCCAATGTAGTGTTGGTAATGGCAACCAATTTTTTTTGTGTGTGCAATTTTGTTAGCTTATTGTTTCTTAAAGTGACCAAGTGTACAGAATTACATAATAATAATTAATAATATAATTGTCTAATTAAGTAGAAGCACTGTATGTTTTTTACTTCGCATGCCCATGATATCATTTTCATTCACAAAATATTTTATTTTATCTATAATTGCCCCCCTTTTTATTTTTTTGATCATGCCTTGTCCTTATGTATTTTTGTCTTTTTATTATCATTTATGTTATTCAGATCTGGTTAGTACATGGATGGGAGACCACTGAGAATTCCAGGTGCCACCGTGGGGCGCCAGTGGCAAAAACTGTCATTGTGTTCTTAGTGAAGACACTTCACCCACATTGCCTAACTGCCTAGTATGAAAGTGGTGTGTGTGTGACTGATGGTGTTGGTCAGAGGGACCGATGGCACAGATTGGCAGCCTCGCCATCAGTCTGCCCCAGGGCAGCTGTGGCTATAATCGTAGTTTACCACCACTGAGTGTTGAGTGAATGAACAATGAACTGTAAAGCGCTTTAGCTATCTTGAAAGGCGCTGTATAAATGCAGTGATTAATTAATTACATTTTCATTATTTAAAATTACTTTATATTGTTTTTTTTATTATCATTTAGTTATAAAGGCCAATCTGCTGACTTCCTGTTTGGTTAATTCTGTTGACTATTTGGGGTAGTGGTAAATCTTTAACTTAGCTGGGCCTCTTTCATGTCCTGAGCCTTATAGTATACACGTTCTTACAGATGGCATGACAGTGGAGGAATCTGAGTGCACCATGTTGTGAATCCAAAACATATGCCCTCGCCATCGGAGTGGCTGCAGCTCTGTGCTCAGCTGTTTCTAATATTTGAGCAAAGGTTTTCCTGCAGGATATGAAAGTCTGTCATCTCAAAGCCCATTTGTCTAGCGCCATTCCCTGTCCTCAGATGTAACACGCACTCACAAGGTCTTCATTATTGTACTGTGGAGGATAGATCCTTAGATGCCCTTGTTTGAGAGACTAACTTTACATTACTGCGCTGTTTGAAGCAAGTTTTGAAGAGGAAGTGCTTCTTTTTTTAACCATATTTTTCTTCGCCAAATGGTTGCAATGCTTTATGTTTTAAGTAGTTGAGACTTTCAAGGCCCAAAGGAGAGTTGCTGTGTTATGGCAACAACAGTGCTAACAATAAAGTACCGGACAAAAAGGATTTTACTCAACATGAAATATGTTGTGTAAGTTATTTGCCAGAGTCAGGACTTGGACCACAAGACATAGATATATCTACTGCACTACCACTTAATCAGAATCTTGACTACTTGGTTTAAAGTATGTTTCTCTGCATAGTACACTGAGCAGTCTTTAAATCAGCCACAAAGCCAGAAGTTTTGTTTAATTTTCCTAATCGTCTTGCAAAAATGTTTTGATGAATCATTAAAGGTTTGTACACAAAACTGACCCTTCTGACTTTTTAAGCTACGTTATAACGTTGTTACCTCCTCGAAAACATACCTGGAGTTGTGTTTTGGTTCCTTCCCACATATTTGAGTAACCCTTTATTATTTGTCATGTCACATTGTTTACATCTCCAATGCTCAAAATGCTCTGTTTTACCTTGTGATGTCATAGTAGTTTTTCGAGTTAACAGCTCCTTGGCAGATTGGCAGTTCTAGGGATGAAGTCGTTCAAATTATTTTAGTGAAGGTGTATGGAGTTTAAAAACACAGTGGAGCACTTCCTGTATTACCACATGACATCACAAGGTGGAACAGAGTGTTTTATGTTTGAGAGAACTTGGAGAATAGTGGAATATAAGCCCTTTTAATTCTTAATCATACACTCATTACTAATGAATTTTAGAGAATGAAATCATTCATTCTCTGCCAATTTCTTTCACTAATGCTTCTCTGGTATTGACCTATATTCATTGTATATACCCACATGTAAATCCATACATACAGGCAGGTCAACATCCCACCTTTTTAGTTATCTTCTCTTGTTAACAGCCATCTCAAGCCTCAGCGAGCCCACTCTTGTGCAGCTCCTATTATACAGACTGGCCTGCTGTTTAACATAGCTGACGACACATACGGAGCCTCTCCCATAGATCAAAGTGTCGTCACAGCTAATTAATCCATATCGATGTTAATTAATCAACTTAACCTTAGGCTTTAACAACGCCCCCCTCCCATTTTCTCCCTTCGACTCCCCCGATCTCATGTCTTAAAATGAGGTGTGTACTTGCTACATATTTTAACAAATGCCATGGAAAGAATTAAAACATATGTAATTTCAGACTAATATATGGGAGTATTAAGACAAAGCTAGTGATAGAAAAACACTCGGGTGCAAAAAGAGGAAGCCATTAACCTCCCAGACATTTACCTAATTAATTCTGTCCACGCTGTAAATGAAGTGCAGCACCTTGGAGAAGTCGTACTCCGCTAAAACTCATGTAAAATGTATGTCGGCCCATATTAACAAGAGCTGCCACCACCCTAATATAACGACACATGTAATCTTTATTCAACTCAGACCCCCAGGCGCTCAGCTTTGTAGAGCTACAGAAAGCTCAAGCTAAATAAACCAAAGTATTGACACAGGTGCGACGCTGTAAGAGCGTGTTTGTATGTAATTAAGGCGTTTATGTTGGTATTAATGATAGCACTAACATGAGTAAGTGGAAGTGAAATGGATTTCCTATGCATTTTTAACATGAAAACCAAACATACTTTTAGAAATGCCAGAACATAAATTAGAACTACATAATTATACAAAAATACCACAGGCAATGCAAAACATGTAGGTAAAATAACTTACGTATTCTAAATTATGTTCTTATTTGTTATTCTTATTCTTAATCTGTGAAGCACTTTGAATTATTTTGTGTTATATGTGTGCTATACAAAAAAAACTTGCCTTGCCTATTAAATATTTTAGATAATGCATCATCATACAAAAACAAAAAAAAATAATTCATAGGTATTTAGACTCAAATCTTTTTTCCTGAAGTATAGTTTAACGCTAATGAGGTCAAATTTAAACTAATTGCACAGTAGTGTAGTAATTATAATTAATATGAGTAAAGTCAGTGTAAAAGTTTGAAATTGAATGGTAACATAAGTTCTGGTCGCATTGTTTTGTTGATAGAGCAGTTGCTGGCTCAGAGTGCTGCGGTGTGCTGCCGGTGCATTCCTGTGGTTTAGCACTTTGCTTTAGA